CAACATTAACGAAGAGAGAATGAGGTGAAAAACGGGTGACATCTCACCTCTTCACCAAAAATATATTTTTGAAGAACTGAAGGTGTCACTACGTCACCATGTGTCACCTGGTTAATTAACTTCTTTTAAAAATGATGACAACATGACATTTTGACAACAGGTACGAAAGGAGGAAGGCATTTATGAATATTTTTGAATAACTGATGGTGTCACCACGTCACCATGTGTCACCAGGTTAATTAACTTCTCTTAAAAATGATGACAACATGACATTTTGACAACAAGCCCGGAAATATTTTTATCATTAATGATTTCGTAAATGTTTTCATTAATGATTTCGTTAATGTTTTCAGTGTCACCACGTCACCATGTCACCAGTTAATTAACTTCTTTTAAAAAGTGTGACAACATGACATTTTGACAACACAGCAGGATTAATGCAAAAATAAATTCAAATCATACTTTATAAAGCTTCATTTACAGGTATTTCATCGTCAGTAAATGAATCCTCATTATCGTTTGGTTCAACCTGTTTATATAATCCTTTCATTTCTTCTTTCAAAACATAACACCATGTTTGTTTACCATCTATTCTTCTCTGTTTCCTTTCACATTTATCTTTAATGCTCATTTGAAAGTTTTTGTCTTTCATGTCTGATGGTTTGCAGAATAGAGCATTTTTACACGTCATACCTGCACACAATTCATCATAATGTGTATTTATCCATACATCTAAAGGATTGTTGATAATTCAATTAAATCTTGTTTGGCTTCAGTCATCGGTATGATTCGTACATTAAATGATGAAAGGTCATATTGCATAAAATATGTTAGTAAATTATCATAAAATTCCTTTGTGCATGAATCCATTAAATTCTTGAAGTAATCAAATTGACCCTTAAATTTACCATTAACTCTTAAAACTACGTATCTTCTGTCTCCAACTTCAATTTTGACAGGGTAAACGTTGTTAGTTACGAAAATGAAGTTTGCAACGTTCTGAGCAGTTCTTCTGGGTTGATTCTTTTCATTAATTCTAATCTCATTATCCGTAATAATTGATTTCAAAGCGTTGAAGTTTGCGAGTCTATCTTCACCTACATTCTTGAGTTCATTAAGTACAAGAAACATTTTATTCTCAACAACTGAATTGAAATTACCCGTTAGCTCACTTATTTCAGTAATGTTTTTACATGAATAACCGGCGAGAAGTTCAGAAATAATGTCTGTAAATCTGTTTTTACCTGTTCCCTGAAGTCCTTTCAAAATAATTGCTGTTTCATTCTTGATTCCAGGATGTTGAATCATTGATGCAATCCAGCCGAGAAGGTATTTATACACTTCATCGTTATTATCACAAATGGCTTCTTTAATGAAATTCATAAACATCTCAATTTTTGAGTAATCTGGTTTTTTCGAGAACGTTGTATTTATAACCCTGAAACGTTGAGAAACATCTGGAGAATCAGATTTAAAGCAAACACCCTTAACGGTTAATGAAGACAATTGATTTAGTAGTACGTCCCATGCTGTTATGGTTTTACCTTCTTCTTTAAATAATTTAATCATTTTGAGTGACTCTTTCATGTTTGATTGAAGAACGAATGATATTTGATTCATTTTGTCGTGGATATTATAGTCCTTTTGAATGAAGTATTTGTTTCCACAATCTACAAAACGGATTACACGTGATAAATCCTCAATTACTTCAGAACTGTTTTTATACTGATGATTTTCAGCCTTGCGTCTAATATCTGTTATCAAAAACGAGTCATCAAGTTTTATATCAAATGTTATTTTTGGCTTACGTAATAAAGGTAAAACGTATTCATCATAATATTCCTTTTGATATAGTTTTAGAATCTTCACTAAAACAAATGGAGAAGTCATTAAATGTGCATATCTACTACGTGCTTTTTCAAAATTACTTTTTGCATTTTCAGTTAAATTGCAGAAGTTATAAACGTTATCGTATGCTTCATTAATGAAATGATTAGGTAACGAATTAATTGCTTGAAACAGTGTGAATAATGTTATTTCTTTTTCTAAATTCATGTTTCCACCGTCATTATGTACTTCAAAATCACAGATGCCATCAACTATGCTCTGGGCAAGTTTATCGTCAATGTTTACATCTTTGTTTTCATTCATGATAGTCTTTATTTCTTCATTCTTCTGTTCAACTCTTACCTTAATATTCAAATCATTTAATATATCATTCACTGTTCTAGTTAATGTTGAATCATAACTTCCACGAATGAATGAGTATGCATTGATTGGTTCTGTTGCATTCTTGCGAACTCTTGAATCAGCCATAACTACTAAAGAACGCTTTGAATCATCCATAGAAGTCATTATATCAATATCATAATCATTGCAGGAATAGCATTTAATCATTCTGTTCGAAACTGCATAGAAGAAATTAGTGTTGCAATAAATGTGAAGACCTCCTGAAGCGGTTTTAACGATAACATCTTTATCCGAAAGTTTTGATAAAATATCTTTTCTAACTGTTTCTTTAAGTTCATCATTGTACGATTTATTGATATCAACATCTATAATCGTTAAATTTGAAATTTTATTTACTAATAAAGCCATACCAGTTTTCCTTCCTCTTCCTCCATCATGTTTGAGGTAGTTATGTAAATCAATCTTGTTTTCACCAATTCTTTCGTTGAGGGTTTTAGTTTCTGCCACAACTAATTCCTTAGCTAATGAATCAATAACTTTTTCATCAGAAACGATATAGTTGCTGTTGTTGTTTGTTGCTGTCATTTATATAGGAATAAAAAAATAAAAATAATTTTAAAACTAACTTTATTTTTGGACTGCATCAAATTTCCAGTGATGTTGTCAAAATGTCATGTTGTCATCATTTTTAAGAGAAGTTAATTAACCTGGTGACATGGTGACGTGGTGACACTGAAAACATTTACGAAAATTCAAGAGGTGAAAAAACAGGTGAGAAAACAGGTGACATCTCACCTCTTCACCTATAATATATTTTTGGTGTAAATTTATGACAAAAATAAATGGTACCATTAATAATACATGACTGTTCTTATTCATGTCTGATTTACATCCAACGAAAAAGTTTAGAAGAATTTTCTTATTCTTTCTGGCATGTTTTTATCTTTCCAGTACTCCCGCTCTAATGGTCCCAGATGAGTTGGTTTAGATTCTCTCAAGTTCTTAGATGGTATAACATCTTCAACGCCTCCTTCATATCTTACTTTATAAGTGTCATCGTTTATGTTGTAGTCAAGTATTTCAATAACCACTCCTCGCTTTGCTTCGTCAATGGTTTCAGCAAGTTTGCCATTACTACTTTCGACTAATTTATGACGAGGGTAAAATGCTATGGAGTCGTCAGCAGCTTTTATAAGATATCCATTACCTTGCGTAGAGTCTACGATATAATAATTTCGACTTAACCTTAAACGTTTCTTTGTCAACGGTTTGTCGTCAAGAACTACACGAACTTTTGTACCAGGAATGAGGGTAAATTGTGTTGAATTTCTGATATTTTGTGTTTGACTTCGTTTCTTTTGTATATACTTTTCTTCTTGTTGTTGTGTCATTGAATTTGGTGTATGTCCTGTTGTAGAATGTGTTGAGGAATTGTAAACTTCGATGAAATGTTTCATTGTTTCTTCGGTAAAGTCTCGCTCTTGATTTAAATCTCTGAGCGTTCTTATGAAGCGATTAATGATACCTAAAATATTATGGTTATGGTCTTCAGTAGTGTAGTGAGTTATGTTATGCTTAATGAGAAATTCTGTGATTTCGTTGCTGAGGTATGCACTGTCTTGGTCTGATGTTAAAGTACTTGGGTTATGTTCTGCTACAAACTTTTGTAAAACTCTTAACACTTCATGAGTTCCTTTATTTCTCATTATATACGCAAAAGCTTTGCGAGTGTTAACATTAATGAAGATGAGGAATGGTTTATGTCCTCCTTTTCTGCTTTGAATGAGAGTGTCAAATTGGTATGCGTCAGGAGTGTTGGAGTAAATTGGTAAAAAGTAGTCGTAAGGGTTTATTTTTGTTTGATGTACAACATTTTTGTCAAAGAACCTTTTCACTTCAGCTCTGTTAGTAAATCCCCGACTCTTTGCAGCTTCATTGAATTTCTTAAAAGACCTCCATGGATGTTGTTCGAATACTTCTTTCAAGCTCATTTATGTAAAGTTAAAGATTTTAACCAACTCGTATCCAAGCGTGCATTGTTATATAAGGAGGCATATAATCTTTTCCATTACCTGCTGGGTCTGTAATACCAGCTACAACATGTGTATGATTTCCTGCAGTTCCACAGAAAATACCTGTGCTAACATCTACTGGGTCAGTTGAAATATCATATCTATGCATTCCCTGTCTATCCGAACCCGCTGCAAGATTTGTATAACCTCTTTTTGTTATTGAATGTGAATGGTTTCCTTCCACAGATGTTCTTCCACTGAACCTATGCATATGTGAAGGAAGGTTTTCAATACCTATTTTCTTTGAACCTCCCATCTTCATTGACTGCGTATTAGTGTAGAATGGAAAACTGTCAACTATTTCATACCATCTACCACCAAATAAAGTGTTTGGATTTATTGGATTCATAGACGTATAAACAGCTCCTATAGGATATATTAAATCATATATGCTCATAACTCTATAAACATATTCTAAAGAACTTATGTCATTAAATACCATTTGGAATGTATCTCCCGGATGAAATGTTGCATTTGTTCCACTTTTATAATGTAATGTTAGTTCAATAGAATTATCCAAGAAAAATTCAAAAGTATCTGGTTGAAGACCTCTAACAAATTCAAATGGAGTTGCTGGTTCACCATTTATAATTTCTGTTGTAAATGTCATTGTATCTGGTTTCGAAAATTTCTTTGTTAGTTCTGTATCCACATAAGTTTTGTCTGCTTTCTTATCTAACATTGTTGGTAGTTCATGTGCTTCAAAGTTTCTGGCATGACTTTCAATGTTCCTGCAACTGTTATCTAAACTGTTAAGAGTATCTTTTACGCTTGTACTTGGATTTTCTAATGGTGCACTTGAACCAAGGTCAAAGTTCAATATTATGTCGTCTGCTCTAACAGTAGTGAAGGATTTATGTGTATGGTTCTTGTCGGCTTTACTGTCTAAAGAAGTTTGAAGTTCATTTATATCGGAGATGTTGTGTTTATGAGATTTCAAAACTTTGTTCGTTGCGTCAAGTTCATCTTTGTCAGCTTTACTTTTAATAGCATCTTCAAACGTTATTTTTGACTTAACTCTCAAAGTAAATCTTGGTTCAACTAATACACCATTAACATTGAAAGTAGAGGCATAAATTTCACCGGTATAACCAAATGCTTCTGGTGCTTTAGCTACATCATACTGTACAGTACAGTGTATGTCATAACCTTTAGCACGAATGTATTTATATCTTCTTTCATTAACATTTTTTGTCTTCGCTTCATCACTTCGTGTTAAATATCCATGGTAGTCCGTTATAATCTGTTCGTCTGAACTTATATAATGAACATGGTTTTTGTCTGCTTTATTGTCTAAAGAAGTTTGAAGTTCATTTATATCGGAGATATTGTGTTTATGAGATTTCAAAACTTTGTTCGTTGCGTCAAGTTCATTTTTATCTGCTTTACTATTTAATGTAGCTTGAAGTTCATTTATATCGGAGATATTGTGTTTATGTTCTTTATCTGCTTTTTCGGCTAATTTCTCTTCTATCTCATTTATTTCAAGTTCATGCCTACCACCACCTCCCGAAGAAGTATTTTTCTTCAGCTCTTGAAGAACGTCCACTTCGCCATCTTTGGTGTCAATAATGAGACTTTGAGTTAAAACCTTTCCTGTCTTAATGGATGTTTGTAAAACTTCTTCTTCACCGTGTTCGGGGTCATGGTCGTCATCATATCTTGTGAAATCAGAGATGTTGTCATACATTAAGCATATCTGTCTCAAAAGTTCTGCTATTTGAAACTGGAACTCTTCCTCCACCAGTAGTTCTTCCGTATGGTCCCTATGGAATGTATGGAAACCCTTACGAAAGACCATTTGACCCATTGACTGGTGGAAGTAACTGGTATCATTACGGACGAAGAAGAAAGACAGTCAAGTTGGAGACAGACGTGAAGAAAGCAACTAAAAAGAAACCAAGGAAGAGAGTTATAAAGTAATGAATTCAACGGGTGAAAAATTAGGTGAAAAAAGAGGTGAGATGTCACCACTTCACCTAAATTTATTTTTGTGCTATGTTTTCATACGTGTGAGGGTGGTGATATCATTAATTTTTAAGTTTATTTTTTTATTTTATTTTTTATTTTATTTGGATGTAAATGACGAAAACTATTGAGATAACAAACTACAACGGTCATGAGTTCAAGAATTTGTTCTTCGTTCCTCGTGAAAATACATTCTATCAGATACGAGGGAGAAAGGGTAAAGTTAGTTTGAGCGTTTATGAAGGAATGAAGAATGGAAAGTTTATACAAGCATACGATACAAACGGTAAACGTGTTTCATTAGCTTTGTCAAAACTTACTAACATTTATTTTGACAGTGACTTTGACCTATATGAAGAAGAAAGTGAGTCAGAAGATTATGAGCTGTTATATGAAGCACAGCAATGGGAGGAGTTGCAATACTTTTGTAAGTGAGAACGTTTATTTTTACATTAGTGAGGTGAAGTGGTTGGCGGCTTTGTAAATATTTAAGGTTAAGTTAGTGTTGTCGTTTGTGTTGTAAAATATACGTTAACGGTTTTGTAAAGTGTCAAATTCACAAGTATTGCGTACGGAGGAACGCAGTGCCTCAGTACACGAGACTTGTATACTAACTATTGGTTTAACAACGTTTATTTTTTGTTGAACATTTTCATTTATTTCCTCCTCTGTTTCATTTATTTTTAAAATCGGTTTCATTTATCATTAAATAAAAATTAGAATATAAGTGATGAAATATATTTTTTAATTAATATTAAATCAGAAATGGCTGCAGGATTCTTTAAAAAATTATGGGATGGAATTAAGAAAGCTGCGGGTTGGGTTCATAAAAATATTATTAAACCCGTTGCAAACTTTTTAGCACCAGTAGCGAAAACGGCAGGAACTATCATAGGTGGAGTATTAGGTACTAAAGCGGGTAATCCGGCAATGGGAGCACAAGCAGGTAACGCAATTGGTGGAATAGCTGAAGGAATACTTAATAAAATAGGAGGTAGATAGTGGAAAAATAAATAAATATTATTTTTATCTTAGTATCGGTTGAAGTCTTTGATAAACTTTTTCTCCTTTATTTAATATTTCTCTTATTGGGGCGGCTTTTGGTGTTATTGATTCAGCAACGTCACTAATTGCTTCTTTATTCTTAAATATCCAATTTGCTCCTTTCTTCATTATTTCCCAAACTTTATGCGCTCCTCTTTTTACTTTATCCCACAGTTTCTTAAAGAATCCTGCAGCCATAGTTGATTATTTCATTAAAATTAAAAATTCATTTTCATCTTTTAATTTTGATTTTTTATTTAATAATAAATGACGACTAACTATTTGGTGCCAAACACTAAACCGATTAATGGAAATGTGTTTCATTCATTCGAAAAGATAAATGAAATATTCGCAAAGAATGACGGTAGAAGATATTATAGAGAACTTGAAAGTTCATGCTATGACTCTGATGCTCCATATTTTGATGATAAACAAACTCATTTAAGAATTACAAATCCAGCTCATGATGTGAATCAATTAGGTGACACATATATTAAACGCAAAGTTAAAGCAACTCTAGTTTCAAATAAAGCTTTCACATGTGATGCCGCTTTTAAATGCATGCGTTTATTCGTTGGTTACAAATCATCAAATCAAAGCTTTAAACAATTAGAAGTAGAAACTGAAAGAGGTGATGCCGGTTATCTTCAGATGGATTGCGCCCGTGAATCTTTCGCATTTGCAACATATAAACCAAAATCAGAAAGGAAAGTTAAAAAGTTTGTTCATTCGTTATATAATAATGTTCAAAAATATGATAACTCAGTATGTGGTAAATATATTGACCCTTCAGAAGTTTTCAAGAAAGCAAATGAAGAAGTTGATGTCACTTTTGATATGATTATTCCGGTAAATGATTTGTTAGCATTTCAGCGTTCGATGATTATCCTAAATCATTTGGTGATATCATTCTTAAATATTATGTTTTCAGGGATACTTTAGTATTTTGTCAGGTTGACCCGTTAAGAGTTGCTGATTTACAAAATTACGTTTATGAAAAGATAACTGATGAAAATTATGAAAAGATTATGAATCATGTTTATAAATATGATCGCAAATTCCAACAAATCGGACTTCCTGCCAAATTAATTACAAGCTTAGCCACTACATCTGCTGACGCAACAGTTGATGACGTTATTATTTCATGCACAAAGATGGAAGTTTTAGAGGATAAATGCATTACACCAGGATACGGTTTAATTGAAGAATCAGTTAAAGCAATACCACGTTTATTCAGTAAGGAAGATCCATTCATGATTCCAGCTCAACATATTGACGTTCGTTCACTAAATGGAGGTTGCATCACTCCTGAAGGTATCAGTTCAGATTTCTCATACGCTCTTCATAATGTTACAGATGTTGTGTTAACATTTCCAAAGAATGCAATGCAAAGAACAGTTTTAGAAAATCCAATGCTTCGAGGTCTTCAGGTCACTATAGATTCCAGAAACTTCCCCGATCAAGCGATGACCACAGTGGGCGACATATTCTTTACACGTATGCTTCAAGCTTCTGATTTAGATGGAGTGAATGAATGCACGGAAGAATACGAGGACTCATTAACTAGACCACTGAATGATGATAATGGCGTGCCATTAGCTAGAACATGGAAAGACCAAACTTCATTCTTATGCACTATTCCAGTTCAACGTGATGGAGCGGGTATATTCTTTGATGGATTAGAAACTTTCAATTCACAAGTTACAGTACAAGTGAAAGCTTATCCAATCATTCAGGGTGAAAATGACACTTACTGTTCAAAGGTGACAAATCCTCCTCAGGTTTGGTTTACTAGGACTACATATTGGACATGGACACCGGATGAAGGTTTGAAATATCATCCAACAGGTACACCACCACAGTATAGAAGTTCATATGATGAAATATTGATGAATAGAAATGTTTAAAATTATAAATTTATTTTTGATTAAATGGATTTAAATTCTGAAGAATTAACAGATGTATATAATACCTACATAGATGATATGATTAATGAAGCATTGAGTGATAATAGAAATGCTCTATCTAAGGAAAAATTAATGAAAATTCCATATTCTGAATGTTATTTAAATTCAATCACCGCAGCAATTGGTAAACAAAATAAAGGTAAAACATTAACGATATTAAAACAAATTATCATTATTGCTAACACTTCCCCCCATTCACACGTGTTAATTTATATCAACCGTTCAGGTTCACCTTCAGATGATACATTTGAATCTTTAAAGCATTTAATCAAAATTCCAATTATTTATTTATCACAAGAAGAAGCAGAAGATTATTTAAAAAACTTTTTAATGTATAAAGAATTATATAATACAATCAAGAAGCAAGGATTAGAGGATAAAATTATTGATAAACAACGGGATGAATTATTTGAAACACTTTCTATTTCAAATTTTGATAAAGAATTTTTGCATTCACTCATTTTTCTAGATGATGCAGTGAAATCAAAACTAATAACTAATGAGAAATCATATTTTAATCAGTTATTAACTCAATGTCGACATATTCAATGTTCATTCTTTATGGCTGTTCAATATTTCAAAGCATTAAGCACAAACATTAAATCAAACCTGTCCACCCTTTTCATTTTCAGTGGTTTTAGTCGTCAACAGTTGAACGTTATGCTTTATCAAGTGAATTTACCAATGAGCATTAATGAACTTTACACACAATATCAGCAATTAGGTGAACATGGAAAAATAATAGTTGATTTAAATAAAGGTTCCATTAAATTTGATTAACTTTTTATAATTAATTTTTATTTTTTATTTATAATTAAACATGACAGAAATAGCAAATCTTCTACAGGTTCCATTAAAACAAGGGACAAACAAAAAGGGTGCATATAATAGAACTATGAAAGTTCCAGACGGAATGAAAGAATTAGTCCACATTGTTGCCGGTCTTCAAAAGGATGTTAAACAAATGAGAAACGTTTTAACATTACCAGAAGCTCAAGAATATGCCAAACGTCATGGACCAAATTGGGAAGCACATGAAGCAGACATTACAGGACCAAATGGAAAGCCTGATGGAATAAATGAAGTCTTTGTTACTGATGGTCAAGGTAATATTAAAGTCATAAATGGGTATAAATTAACTATAACTGATTATCCTAAACGTAAAGCATATAATGAACGTTATCCTATGAAATTTGATGAAAATGGAAAAGCTGTTAAACAATACATTGGAGAAGGTGAAAATGGTCCAATTAATTCATACCGTTATAATCCATATTCTTATTTCAATGAAGAATTAAATGCTATTGAAGAGGGACCGGATGGATTACCACGATATGTTAATCAGTTTGATGGTCAATATGCAAATATTAGACCTGAAATTCCAGCTAAGAAATTCTTTAAAGTTGCTTTATTCGATCCAGTGTTCAATGAACAGAAAGAAGCAATGAAAGCAGAATTTAAACCAATTCAAGTGGCAAGAATTTCTTCATCTTCACTTTCAGAAGCGTTCAAGGAATTGATAAAGAAACCACTTTATTCTCAACAAGGTTATAACTTTGATTTAATTAAAGAAAGTGATAGACGTAAATTAGAAAAATCAGATGGTTTTAAGAATGCATGTAATGAAATGATTAAAGATATTGTAAATGATAAAATAAGACTGGAAGAAACTCAAAGCAATATCAATAACATAATTGGTGCAGTTACAAAGAAAGTATAAGCAAACAATGATGAACCTTGGGATATTACCGTAACAACTAAATAAAACTTTAAATATATTTTTCTTTTTTTTATTCAATTATAAATGAGAAGACGTTTCACAAGTCAAAAGAACACAAACGCAAAAGCAGAGATTACGGTTGGTTATAACGTAAATGATTGATAAATCACGAATTATTCAAAATGTTAAAGTTAATGTTAGCCCTGAATTAACTCGTGACTTACCGAAAAAGGAGGAGGAGCAAAATAAAGAAGATGGAGACCCAATCATTTTATCTGAACCTGGTAAAGAACCTGTTGAAATTCCCACTTATCCAACATACCCCCGCCTCTTTCATCAAACATCGAGAACCCAGGAATCTACGATTCCAGTCACAATGCGCCATATAAAATAGACATTAATTCAGAATTAATGAAAATTTACCGTGATATAATAATTAATAATTATGATTCAATAATAAATTTAATTGACCAATCCGGTTTAATTATTTTACCTTATGAATCATTAATTCACATTATCGCCATTCTTTGTGATGTTCAAGATTCAGACGTTAAGATTCAATTTTTCATAGATGATGAGGTTTCATGCTGCGGAACAGTTGCAAAAATAAATCCTATAAAGGATATTAGCACAATTAAGATATCAAAGAACGGAACAACAACTGAACTTCATTTAACATATAATGATATTTATAATAAAATAGTTGATGAATATAAAATATCACTTGAAAAATTCTTTGTCAAGGCTATTTAATATTCAAGCATTAACATTATCGAATAATAATCCTTTGAATCATAATCAATAATAATTGACCTTTCACCAGTTTCTATCGTTTGTTTTATTTCTTTTTGTTCCCCACTATCTGGATCGGTCATTGTAATTGTTTTTGTTATAGTATCAGCTTTATCTTTAACTTCAATCTTTTTTCCATCGGGATATTTAAACCAAAATTCCAAAAATTCGATATTGTCAATCTGTTCATATTTTAATCTATCAATTACATTTTTAATACCATCTGAAAATCTTATGAAATGGTCATTATATGGGTTTGATTGAACTAAATTTGAATGAAGTGAAATATAACCTGTTGATGAATATGACATTGACTCATATTTTCTGAAAACACTAAAATTTATAACATGAATGAATTTCTTATTCGTTGAATTTATGAATTCTTGAGGTAATCTTATTCTAGTTTTATTTATCACTGGAAAATAACGCTTTACCATATTTTTAATCGTAATAAAAATGTCAATTATCAATATTATTTCGAATAATAACTGTGAATTAAATTTAACAGTTAGCGGAATTTATAATGTTACTCTCGTTTCTGTGAGTGGTAAATTTAATCCCATTCTTTTAGACCCTTCAGATTATATATCATTTATTAAAGATGACCATGAAAAAACGTATGATATGTATATAAATAATGTGATAGCGAAATGGGATATTAACATGATTTTAAGTTATTTAAATGAATCATTTATCGTATGGTATGAAGAAAATTTTAAATCAAAACCTGATAAACTTTTTGAACTTGATGAAATAAATAACCTTATTAAATTTCCGCTGAAAATTAAATTTTGTACTCCTCATCTTCGTTCATTGTTGGGGATATTAAATTTTGAAAAAGATGTTGGGGATGTTTTGTATTCTGACACTGGTTCCAATTTCATTTTAATCAAATGTGATAAAGTTAATACCCCAATGAGATTTTCACATCAAACATTAGACCCTAACTCTTACCCATCAATACAAAACATTTTATCCATCAACTTAAACACATTTTCTTTATCATATCCGTTTCAATTATCTGGGAATTCATTTATTCTTCATTCAAAAGATTTATCAAATATTAAATTTAGAGTAACTGACCTATTTGATTGTGATTTAGAATTCATGAATGAAATATTATGGCAATTTCAAATAGAAAAAATAGCTGATGAGATAACAGATTAAATATTTATTTTTAAATCATAATAAATGATTAAACAACAGCAACTTAAGGCACAAAGCACCCAGGTCCCTCAGACCATTACATACGCCATATATGCATATAATTCAAAGACGGCAGAACAAACGCAAAGGTTGAAATATGGAGATTTGGAGATAGTATTGAAAAATGACCATTTCGAATTCGTTTGCAAGGGTGGTGCAGTGATATCAAATATGAAAGAAATTTTATTTATGAATTCAAAAATTAAAGGAATAACGGATGATATAACATCAATTCCACCAGAAGAACAGAGATATTACGCATTAAATGCATTTCCTAAAGTTTTGAAGATTGGAAGATTTAATTTAAATGAGGAATTCATAGAAGGTTTCCTAAACGACATAATGAAGAAGGCAGATAAGGAATATGTTGCTGCTGTGTTAGAGAAGAAAGCAAATTTGGTTTATGTTAACGAAAAAGATAATGAAATTAAAGAAAGGGTTGAATGGTATCATGAATGGACATCAAAGATTTTAAAAACTAAAGCCGATACAGGATGGGTTTCAGGATGTTTAGACCTTAAAGCGGATAAGGAATATGTTAACGATGAGTTAGAGAAGAAAGCAGATAAGGAATATGTTAACGATGAGTTAGAGAAGAAAGCAGATAAAACTTATGTTAATGAAGAAATAAAACAATCAGAGGTCTATTTTACTCCGCCATTTTTAAATTTTATGAAATCATCAGATAAAACCTTTGATATAGATTCTTTTGAATGGATATGTTTCGATGGAGTGACCATGTATTTATTTTATACAGCTGGAGTGCTTTATTATTTTAAAACAAATGATTTTAAAAACTATGAATCATTTACTCCATCTGTTTTGAATCCTGATACACGAAAGCCAATCATTAATCCAATAATTTTATATGTTGAATATAATAACGGTAAATTTATGGGAATGATAACGGTTGAAGATGATTTTTGCCCTTGTTATTCATTTGATTGTATCCAATGGTTCAAATGTAATTTAAATCAAGATGCTAAATTTAAATATCCAAATAATCCTATTAGATGTGTTAATAATAAATGGGTACTAATTTATGAAGTCAATCAAATTTTCATTAGTGAGGATGGGATAAATTATTATATGTTTAGTATGATGTCATCAGATTTGAAAATTGATTATACAAGTAAGTGGTATTACATTAACAACATGTATTTTATCCTACAAAATGATAAAATTTATAGATCATCTTCAATATCACAAGGTCAATTTGAACAAATTTTTCAAGCTGATGGAGACATTGAAGCTTTATGTTATGGATCAAATGTTTATGTTCTCGTTTCAGGTGAAATGGTCTATTCATATCCTGTAAGTTATAACAGACATATTTATTTATCACAGGATTTATCAAATTGGGAATTGGTTTATTCATTCACTCCAAAACTTACTCAAAATTATAGATTTACAAATTTATTTTATATTGATGGGTATTTCATTGCTTTAGGATGTGGTGATTTAGTAAATATCAGTAGTGATGGAAGAAACTGGTCTGAAATCACAAAATTTCAAGATGTTAGAAAAGCAATTTTCAAAAATAATACGTTAATATTGATAACAAGACCAGTTTTAAATATTCACCCAAATTCAATATTATATAATAAATTCAATATTCAGAATGGATTAAATACAATTCTTGAGATGATTTACCCCATTGGTTCTATTTATACGTCAATGAACTCAACAAATCCTTCAAAAGTTTTAGGTTTTGGTGCGTGGGAACAGATTGTAGATAAATTCCTCTATTGTGCGAACTCTTCAAAGCAAACAGGAGGTTCGAAGAAAATTACTGAAGCAAACCTTCCACCGCACACTCATACAGGAACTACAAACTTTTCTGGTGACCATAGTCACTCATTAAGAGACCATCCATTATACAACTCAGAATATTATGCTGGCAATGACGTTTTATCTCCAGATTATAACCATTCAGCAAAAAAGACTTTTCGACCAACTGAACCAGGAGGAAATCATTCACATACTTTCACAACAAATCCAACAGGCTTGGGTAAAGATTATATGCCACCATTTATGACTGTATTCGCATGGTACCGCATTTATTGAATGTGCTTGAGCCTACTTTGCAGGCTTACCGCGTTCATTGAATGAACTAAATATATTTTATGTTTGTAATTAATTAGGTAATGAAGTAATGAATGAACTGCAGAAATAAATGTTTACGTTAATGTTTACAGGTTATTCAATAATGAATTATTTTTGAAGAACTGAAGGTGCTACCATGTTACCATGTGCTACCAGGTTAATTAACTTCTCTGAAAAAATGAGACAACATGACATTTTGACAACACAGCAGGATTAATGCAAAAATAAATTCCACTCATACTTTATAAAGCAAGACCTTCAGGTCTCGCCGCTTAGCGGCTCATTTACAGGTATTTCATCGTCAGTAAATGAATCCTCATTATCGTTTGGTTCAACCTGTTTATATAATCCTTTCATTTCTTCTTTCAAAACATAACACCATGTTTGTTTACCGTCTATTCTTCTATGTTTCCTATCACATTTATCCTTAATACTCATTTGAAAGTTTTTGTCTTTCATGTCTGATGGTTTGCAGAATAGAGCATTTTCACACGTCATACCTGCACACAATTCATCATAATGTGTATTTATCCATACATCTAAAGGATTTGTTGATAACTCGATTAAATCTTGTTTGGCTTCAGTCATCGGTATGATTCGTACATTAAATGATGAAAGGTCATATTGCATAAAATATGTTAGTAAATTATCATAAAATTCCTTTGTGCATGAATCCATTAAATTCTTGAAGTAATCAAATTGACCCTTGAATTTACCATTAACTCTTAAAACTACATATCTTCTGTCTCCAACTTCAATTTTGACAGGGTAGACGTTGTTAGTTACGAAAATGAAGTTTGCAACATTCTGAGCAGTTCTTCTGGGTTGATTCTTTTCATTAATTCTAATCTCATTATCCGTAATAATTGATTTCAAAGCGTTGAAGTTTGCGAGTCTGTCTTCACCTACATTCTTGAGTTCATTAAGTACAAGAAACATTTTATTCTCAACAACTGAATTGAAATTACCCGTTAGCTCACTTATTTCAGTAATGTTTTTACATGAATAACCAGCGAGAAGTTCAGAAATAATGTCTGTAAATCTGTTTTTACCTGTTCCCTGAAGTCCTTTCAAAATAATTGCTGTTTCATTCTTGATTCCAGGATGTTGAATCATTGATGCAATCCAGCCGAGAAGGTATTTATACACTTCATCGTTATTATCACAAATGGCTTCTTTAATGAAATTCATAAACATCTCAATTTTTGAGTAATCTGGTTTTTCGAGAATGTTGTATTTATAACCTTGAAACGTTGAGAAAACATCTGGAGAATCAGATTTAAAGCTAACACCCTTAACGGTTAATGAGGATAATTGATTTAGTAGTACATCCCATGCTGTTGTTGTTTTACCTTCTTCTTTAAATAATTTAATCATTTTGAGTGACTCTTTCATGTTTGATTGAAGAACGAATGATATTTGATTCATTTTGTCGTGTATGTTGTAATCTTTCTGAATGAAATATTTGTTTCCACAATCTACAAAACGAATTACACGTGATAAATCCTCAATTACTTCAGAACCGTTTTTATACTGATGATTTTCAGCCTTGCGTCTAATATCTGTTATCAAAAACGAGTCATCAAGTTTGATATCAAATGTTATTTTTGGCTTACGTAATAAAGGCAAAACGTATTCATCATAATATTCCTTTTGATAAAGTTTTAGAATCTTCACTAAAACAAATGGAGAAGTCATTAAATGTGCATATCTACTACGTGCTTTTTCAAAATTACTTTTTGCATTTTCTGTTAAGCTGCAGAAATTATAAACGTTATCGTATGCTTCATTAATTAAATGATTAGGTAACGAATTAATTGCTTGAAACAGTGTGAATAATGTAACTTCTTTTTCTAAATTCATGTTTCCACCGTCATTATGTACTTCAAAATCACAGATACCATCAACTATGCTCTGGGCAAGTTTATTGTCAATGTTTACATCTTTGTTTTCATTCATGATATTCTTTATTTCTTCGTTCTTCTGTTCAACTCTTACCTTAATATTCAAATCATTTAATATATCATTCACTGTTCTAGTTAATGTTGAATCATAACTTCCACGAATGAATGTGTATGTATTGATTGGTTCTGTTGCATTCTTGCGAACTCTTGAATCAGCCATAACCACTAAAGAACGCTTTGAATCATCAATAGAAGTCATTATGTCAATATCATAATCATTGCAGGAATAACATTTAATCATTCTGTTCGAAACTGCATAGAAGAAATTAGTGTTGCAATAAATGTGAAGACCTCCTGAAGCGGTTTTAACGATAACATCTTTATCCGAAAGTTTTGATAAAATGTCTTTTCTAACTGTTTCTTTAAGTTCATCATTGTACGATTTATTGATATCAACATCTATAATCGTTAAATTCGAAATTTTATTTACTAATAAAGCCATACCAGTTTTCCTTCCTCTTCCTCCATCATGTTTGAGGTAGTTATGTAAATCAATCTTGTTTTCACCAATTCTTTCGTTGAGGGTTTTAGTTTCTGCCACAACTAATTCCTCAGCTAATGAATCAATAACTTGTTCATCAGAAATGATAAAGTTACTGTTGTTTGTTGCTGTCATTTATATAGGAATAAAAAAATAAAAATAATTTTAAAACTAACTTTATTTTTGGACTGCATCAAATTTCCAGGACTGTTGTCAAAATGTCATGTTGTCTCATTTTTTCAGAGAAGTTAATTAACCTGGTAGCACATGGTAACATGGTAGCACCTTCAGTTCTTCAAAAATAATTCATAACTGCCTTCCTCCTGTGTTGTTGTCAAAATGTCATGTTGTCTCATTTTTTCAGAGAAGTTAATTAACCTGGTAGCACATGGTAACATGGTAGCACCTTCAGTTCTTCAAAAATAATTAATTATTGAATAACCTGAAAACCATTAACGATAAAATAACTGATAACAAATTTTTATTTTTATCATAAATGGATACCCCACAAGCTCAAAATTTACCACGAATCATAACAAGGGAGGAAACGATAAAAATGATGCGAGAACTTGCTAAAAATAACAAACCACTAAAACTGAGAAAATGCGGTTATGCAGTAATGATGGAAAGAGAGATGTTGTCAAAGAGGAATAAAAATTAAATTTGGATTGAGTTTAAAAATTCATCTTTATTAAATTCATCTCTTCCAATCAATTTATTTATTCTATTAAATTCTTTTATTTTTGCTTCACTCAGTTTAAGGATTGAACGGTAAGTTTCTAATTTTTCGATTATTTCTTCATCGTTTTCAGTTCCATTAGTTTTATGGGCATCAACCCCACTGCATTGCGGCTTCTTTTTGTAATAGCATATTTTTGATTTAATTCTGTTTAGTTTCTTTTTATATTCATCGTCTGGACTCTTGGCTGCTTCGTTGTCACTCATTTCTTACGAAATAAAAAAAATTAAATATTATTTAAATATAATGGAGTAATAAAATAAATCGGAATTTCTATTAATTTATTGTCAACTTCAACTAATACATTACCGTTAATATATCTAACAAATTCAGCTATTGTGTCAAATCTTCGTCTTCTTTTTGTCATTGATTTATCAGTTTTTCCATAATCGAGATGAATCAAAACTTTATCCCCTTGTTTAAAATTCATGAGCCCCGAATTAATTTGTTCACGTTTAACATCATTCAACCTTTCCATTTGCTTTCTAATATATTCCCATTCTTTTGAAATATCATTTTTCATTTCCACCGGTTTCATGTTTATTGTTCTATGCCATGTATTATTATAATATACTAACTGTTGTATGATGGAGTCATGATTTCCATCCCAGTATATCTGACCGTTAACCCCTAACGCATCTCTAAGAGTTCTCATTACTGCATCAACTATTTTATTATGAAACGTATATGGAGAGGATGAAAAGAAAAATTAATTTGTGGGAAATAATGAGTCATAGCTGCCTGAAATCCTTTATCACCATCACCCCTGATATTATCTACTCTTTCATGATCTAGTAAGTATTGAATAGCTCTTCGTGTTTCCTGTTCTGTTTTCCCTTTCACCGGAATGCAATATAAATATCTAGTGTTAATGTTAATGGCAAACAAATAAGTAACTTTTCCTTTTGAATATTCCAGATGATCGATTTCGTATGAATATGGATATGGAGCAAATGAAGGGCGACTAAATTTTTCCTTTAATGGTTGAATTTTCGGGTCAATTGGTTTATTTAATATCTTGAAATACTTTTTAAAATCTTTTTGCTTCTTTGGTGATTGAAATGGATATAATAAAGTGAATGATGAAGGATTAACTGAAGGAGGAGGAGGTACTGTCGTTGGAGGTTTTGGTGTTGCAGGTGGTTTAATTTTATCTGCTTTGATTTTGGATTTCATTCCTTCCTTCATTAATTCTGGATGTATTCTATTCATTTGTTTTAAATATGCTGTATATAAAGGTTTGATATACTTTCCCGCTTCGAGTTTATGTTGAAGGATGAATTCCAAAAGTTGATCTTCATTTAAAAGTCGGGCTGAATATGGTTTAACTAATGAATCATAAATTAAAGCTTGTGCATCATTTATGGTCTGAAGGACATGGGTGTTTTGCGGCTCAGGATTATATAAATTATATAATTCATCAATATCTTCTTCTGTTAATACTTTATTTTTGAAATCTTTCAACTGTTTAAGTTGTGATTTAGTTTTTCCCTTTGAATATTCATTATTTTTAATTTTGTCTTTAATTTTAGAAATTATTCTATCATGATATTTCAAAATTTCATTTTTATAATATGGATAATAATATTCCATATCATCACCCGTTATATTGTTATCATATTTTTGGAGATATGCTTTTAAATCATAATAACTAAGAAAATTTTGATTAAGTACTAAATCATCAATTAAATTTTTAAATCTGCGCTATTCATTTATATAAAAATAAAATAAATGTTTAAGGGTGCCCACCTCTTTGTCTCTTCTGTGGCATTTCATTAAAAATAAAATTTTAAATAAATGGCATACAACATCCATTTTCACAACATACAGCCTTAGTGTGTGCTCCTGTTAATGCAGTCTTACCAATTGTTAAGCGAGTCATTGACCCGTTTTTAAGTTGTAAATTAATATTCTGACCATCAAATATCACTTTATCATTTATTATATCCAAATAATTTTTAGGTGTTAATTGCTTATTTTGTCGTAAACTAACACCTTTCATTTTTTGTGCAATCTTTTTAAAATCACCCATCAATTGAACCGTTGAATGATGTATAACACTTAGGACATAAAGCAACCATGTTATCACCTTGTTTCTCAATTGCTAAACCCAATAACTTTTTCTCATGTGCTTTTTCTTCAGCTTTATTCTTTAATTTAGGTTTAAATTTCTCATCAAAACAGAAGAAATCAAAAGGTGCGAATTTGAAAATGTTTTTATCATAAAATTGTTTATCGGTAACAATTGCTTGAAATGCTTGAGTGTTAGGAAGATTTGGGTCGCCAGCGATTGCCCAATAAGATGAATCAGTATCACCTTCAATGAAATGAAAACGATTAACATCCATGCATTTATACATAAAATCATAAATGAAAACCAAATACCAGTATTTTGCGTTATCTAAAGTGAAGAATGCCTCTTGTAAACATGTATCACATCTATAAAATCTATCTTTAAGCATCACTTGATATGTATCTTCACCTATTTCTCTTATGTTTTTAAACTTATTTGACATACATGCAACGCGTGCCTTCTGTGCATTCATTATTTTAGTCTTTGCGTAATTTTGTGTATTCATTGCATCGTAACCATATGATCCATTAAGTGAAATCTTGCAAAATAAACTTTTTCCTTTATTTCCTTCTAATTCAGCCTTTTGTCTTTCGTTCATAAATTTGTTCGCAAATTCATTAAAACAAGTGTTTTTAGTAAATGTTAAAATTGATTGAATATCATCGATGATAAAATGAAATCTGTCTATTAGATACCAAAGATAATAAGAAGAAAATGGTTGATATTGGTTGTGTGTTGATGCTAACTGAGTTAATTTCCTCTGTTTCTGGTCAACTGGTAGATTGTTTGATTTCATGTAATTATACATAAAACTGCCAATTGTTTTTTCATCTGTGATAATATCTAAGTTTCTTATTATCGGTAAAAAGTTTATGTAATCATTAATGTATTTTTCATCAATGTGACCCTTTACTTCAGCCACGAATAAAGTATTTTTCTTCTTAATTATTCCCAGTGCTTTTGCTTTCTTTGTTGCTGTATCACAAATGATAACACCATTCAATCTTCCCGGCATATACATTTTATGGTCAGTATATTGAATGAAATCATGAGGATTAGATGAAAATGATGAAGGATATAATGAATTAAAATCAACACCAACGAAATGAGTCATAATGTTGGTAGTGTCCTCATTTGATACAGTTTTAGTTTCTGGATTATATGAAAGTTTATTAATGTGCGTGATTCCTTTAAGATTAACACGATGTTGAACATTTGATAAACCACCAGTAATTCCATTACGGAGAATGTGATAAGCTTCAACTGAATCTAAAGTCATTGGTAAATTATTTTTTAATGCATAATTTCTTAAATTGATTCTTAAACGTTGAACATCTTCATCTTTATTTGATTTTACGACATTGCAATAACAACACATTAACTGACAATTTTCTTTAGTATGTGGTTTTTCATTATCGATTCTATCTAATGTTGGTTTATTTGCATATGTAAACGCTTTACCACACATTTTGCATTTAGATGAAAGGATTAAATCGTGATAGTATTGAAAATCATCCATTGAAACATTATTTTTACTATCCCTTTCTGCTTTTTCATCTTGTTTCTTATATGATTCAATTTTATATTTCCAATACTTTTTCGTTAATTCAAAACTTGATTCTATCTCTTCCTCAAGATAGTTTTCGTTAGGATTGAAGTTCTTATATGCTAACGCGTAACGAATCATTGATGCATTCGATGATAAAGAAAGATTATGAAGCATGTCAATTTTATAAACAAATGTTTCTTCAATAATTTTATCAATTGGGTCAATCATAATTTCAACATCTTTATTGCAATAATGAATAAAATATTCTAATCTATTCTTAAAGTTTTTAGCATCATTGAGATATATTTGATAATCACTATCTGATATAGTTTCTTGAGTTAATGCTGAATAAAATGAATCTTTCGTGAATGGTTCCTCTTTATATAATTCTTCTTCGTAATTCCCCATGTGATGAATTGATAAGGGAAAAAGGATTTAACACGTGATTTATTGTTTCCGAAATCTTGAGTGAATTGGTCTAATGTCCCACCCGCTATATAATTTCTGATGTCAATAAATCTCAATTCATATGGAACGTTTGTTTTCTTTACAATGATTTGCTTAAATTGTGAAGATGAACCCAGCATTGATTTTATTTTCCATTTTGCAGTGTTTAAATCACGAAGAATTAAATTTAAATCAAACTTTCCCGAATTAAAACCTATGATATTCACTTTATTGAATTCCTCATCTAGAAGTTCTTTAAATGCTTCCTTCTGTTTTTCATTTAATGTTTGCGACTTCATTAATTCTTCATATTGTTCAATATTTGATTTAGCAACTAATGAACAGGTTGAAAATAAAAACTCAATCCAATCAGAAATAAAAGAATCACTCGAAGTTAAGCAAAAATTCCTCGTATATGTTTTATCACGGTCTACGACCTCGCCGCTTTGCGGCTTTAATTTAACCGTTGATGATACCATGAATGGTTTTAAGTAAGCGTTCAAAGTTGCACACTCAGAAAGTTGTAATTCTTCTTTAGTCTCTAATGTTTCGAAGTCAAAAGTAATATAATATCTTGTCGGTTGATAATATTCCTGCAAATTATGAGCTAATAACCACTGATATATCTTCTGTTTCGTAATATGTGGTGCATATGGTTGCTGTGTCTTTTGCAATGAACGTCTTGAATTAATCTTCCATTATTTTCTTTACATTTCTCACAATGCTTTAAAAATCTTCTTTGGTTTTTCCTTTCTGGATCATCACGGATAGAATAAACTTCTTCTTTACAATATGGACAAACTCTATAGCCGGTGAGTGCTTCAACGTCTGTTATTCTGTCAGCGTGAAGTTTTCCACATGGACTCTGTGTTAATAAAATATTTATTGTTTCAAATTCTGGATCTATCATTATTGATTCCACTAATGGAAAGTCTACCTTATTTATGTCCACGTCTTCTGGTTGAGGATCACAATAATAGAAATCAATATTAACATTTAACATTCTCGCTAATCTCTCACTTTCTGATGAAATGTCAAACCTTCATATGCATCTATTGCTTCATTTAAATAACTTCTACGAGTTTTAGGATTAACACCATCAGGAATGTTATAGAAGCGTTTAAATAACCTTCTACCTTCTGCTCTAATTTGATTATCATTCATTTTAGCTGTTCCGTTTTTGTTCATTTATGTAAGAATAAAAAATTAAAAAATAAATAAAAATAAAGTTTATTTTTTAAAGCCCATAAAATGAATTAAGAACACATAAATTTTTATCATCTGCGACGTGACGAATACATTTTAATTTACTCAAGAATGCGTACCCTGATACATTAAATCTAATTCCTGTCTTATTTAATTTCACACAACTTTGAAAAGGAATGTATGAATAGCTATAAAATGATGAGAAGATGTTTTATGGGTTGCTTCCCTTTTTTTCTGAAAAAATGAATAAATATAATGTTTATAAGTTTTCATATCTTTTATGTTCTTAATAACGAATGGTATAGACCTTTCCACTTCGTCTTCCTTCGGTGTTGTTCTTTCATATGAAACATTATTAGTATCTTCAATAATGAAACCACAATCACACAAAATTTTATATGTTCCAATGGTTTCTTTTGATATTTTATCTAATAAATCAAAAACTTTATCAACACCTGTGCATTTATTTAAATAATAATTTGTGTAAATATCATGATCTTCTTTCTTAATCGTATTAGTTGCATATGTCACATTTTTAAGAGCTTTTTTGAATTTTTCGGAATCTAAAGGTGGTGAAAGTAAGATACAAGGGTATTCTTCATTATCAATAAATTGTAACTTATGTTTACGTATAAATTTAGTGCCTTCTTCTGAAAGTGTTTCATCTATTTCGCCATCTAATAAATTTTGTGTTGATTCTGAGACATAATTTTTATATCTTTCTTCATGAGATTTCTGTACTTCTGATTCTGAAGCTGGGATATTCATTAAACCCTCTACTTCATTTTCATTATATTTTTCAACTTCTCTTAATTCCTTAATTTTTTCATCTATTTCATCTCTTATTTTTTCTAGTCTTTCAATTTCATTGTATTCATCATCTTTAATCCGTTCTTCATAATATTCAGGGAAAACATCAGGTTCTTTAGGTTTTTCTTCTTCAGATGTGGGATATAAGAAATTTATAACATCATCTTTATTCATTTTTCCATCATAATCGAAATCATTTAATAACTCAGCAAATTTTTTACAATTTCTTAAATAATATTTACTAACTTCATAACCCACCTCCTCTAATATATCCTTTATTTCCTCGTTTGTGAATCCTAATTTTTTAACGTTGTTAGTTTTGACGCTCATTTCATACAAAATAAAAATAAATTATTCAAAAATGTAAGACATGAATTTTTAAAGTTTATTTTTTATAAAATTTTTTTTATTTTTTTTTATTTCGTTATGTATGGGCTGAGTGTAAATGTCTTACAATTTTGAAAATTTTTTAAATCTTGATTTATTCAAAAACGTAAGAATAAAAACCGTCAGAATCATACATTTTTTACTTCATATGTTAAAAAATGATACAAAATCGCTCGATATTGTATGAATTCTTACGTTTACAAAAAAAGTCACAAAACCCATCATATCATACTACTAATATTGCGAACAAATTCTGAAGTAAAATCGCGATCAATAATTGAAAATTACGATCATGTACTGAAAAATGACGATCAAATTGAATGAATAGAATTATATCTAAGAAAAAATAAAGGCAAACCCAAATTTTAGCTAAAAGTGACAGGAAAAAAAAACGTTTAGTATTAAAAAAAAAGACCGATGAGAGCTTCGTTCGAAATATAGAGGGAACTGAGAATGCGCAACCATTCTCAGGGAATATTGGATGCTATTCCCGTTCCCTCTGTATGGAAAATTGAGGTTTTCAAAGGGAGTTAAAATAATATCAAATTTATACTAATTTACTTCAAAATACAAAAGTATTTGACAGCTAAAATTAGTTACTTTAGCAAGCCTATCAATACCCTTTTACGATTATTGCTACTTTTTCGAAATAAAAGTAAAAACAAATTTATACTAATTTACTTCAAAATACAAAAGTATTTGACAGCTAAAATTAGTTACTTTAGCAAGCCTATCAATACCCTTTTACGATTATTGCTACTTTTTCGAAATAAAAGTAAAAACAAATTTATACTAATTTACTTCAAAATACAAAAGTATTTGACAGCTAAAATTAGTTACTTTAGCAAGCCTATCAATACCCTTTTACGATTATTGCTACTTTTTCGAAATAAAATAAATTTATTATCAAAAACCTTTTTTTTCTTAGTAAAAATAAACGAAATTTTTTACCTTATGAACTTTTGATGGAAATATGCAAATTTAAAATAATAAAGAAAGCCGCGAGCGAAGCGATCGGCTTAGTTCGAAGATTTTGATTCAAATCTTTGCTGATCTGTAATTCGCGGAAGCCGCGAGCGAATCGAGCGGCTTAGGTCTAAGATTTTGATTCAAATCTTTGCTTATATTCCTTAAATTCTTTATGAAACTCGCAACAGTTCCATAAAAAATGTTAAATTCTAAACTGTCGAAATTACCGATCGGTAATCACACCCTTCACGGGTGTGTCACTTTTTACAGGTGTGTCACTTTTAGCTAAAATTACCCCTACTCAAAGAAAAAAATGAAAATTGTTAAATAATACCCTATAATTCCTGGGTTGTCAATTTTTTGGGGGCCTATGGAGAAATTTACTTTATCAATAGCGCACCATAGATTCGAATCCAGAGCCTATAATTCTAGAAGTAGATGAAGGTACCCTAGAATAACTATGTGGTGTAGTTTTTATTGCTATTTAAGATATCACATAAAATATATTAATCAAATAATAAAAATTTCAATAAAATTAAATAATTGTTATTTTTATATAGAGTAGATATTATTTCTATATTTAGATCGAAAAAATAAATAATTCTGAAGTCCTAGTAATATTCATCCATGATGATGATTTATTTTTCAATATTATACAATAAGAAATATATTTATAAGTTTTTTTTTTGAAAAATGTTTAAAATTGAGAGATCAAAATTTCGATTTGTGAAAAGAAATCATAAATC